ATATTAGAATTACTCTATCTTTCTTACCATGTCATGAATTACTTCATGAATTACTTGCTTGATCAGTGAGACTGTAATAACGATGAATGTATCTATTTATAGAATCATGGAATCAAGTAGGTTGAAAAAGACCTTTAAGATCATCAAGTCCAATCTTTACCCCAGGACTGCCAAGCCCACCACTAAACCATGTCACAAAGGTCAAACTGATCTCCCCTCAAGATCTCCTCTTATGGCTGCCACTCATGATCTCCGCTCACAGCCACCCCTCATCTGCACCCACAGTGGCCCACACTGTATAGCTGCCACACCTACCACCCATGGCCACCTCTCACACCCCATGGCTGCCTCTGCTCTCTGCTCATGATGTTTCCTCATGATCTTCCTTCATGGCTGCCCCTCACCTCTCATGGCCACTCCTCACATCCCATGGCTGCCCTTGCTCTCTGCTCATGATCTCTGCTCACAGCCAACCTCCCCTCTCCAGTCATGATCTCCCCTCATGAGTGCTCCTACTTTCCCCTCGTGATCTTCCCTCATGGCCACCCTTCCTCTCCCCTCATGATCTCCCCTCACAACAGCCCCTCACCTCTCATGGCCACCCCTTGTCTCCCCTCATGATCGGCCCTCGTGGCCTCTCCTTCTTTCGCCTCACAATCTCCCGTCATGACCACTGCTCATCTCCCCTCATGGCTGCCCCTCCTTTCCCTTCACAAACTCCCCTCATGGCCGCCATGGTCCCTCATGGACACCACTTGTCTCCCCTCATGATCTTCCCTCATGGCCACCCTTCCTTTCCCCTCATGATCTTCCCTTGCGGCTGCTCTTCCTTTCCCCTCAGTCTCCCTCCATGGCTACCCCTCCTTTGCCTTTATGATCTTCCCTCATGGCCCCCCCTCCTCTCCCCTCATGATCTCCCTTTGTGACTGCCCATCCTTTCCCCTCACAATCTTCCCTCATGGCCATGCCTCCTCTTCCCTCATGATCTTCTGTCATCGCTGCCCTTCCTCTTCCCTTCACGACTGCCCTTCGCTCCTCATGGCCACCCCTCCTTTCCCCTCATTATCTCCCCTCATGGCCACCACTTCTTTACCCTCGCAGTCTTCCCTCATGGGTGCTCCTACTCTCCCCTCAGGATTTCTCTCATGGCCACTTTTCATCTCCCCTCATGGCCACCCCTTTTGTCCCCTCACAATCTTCCTTCATGGCTGCCCCTCCTTTTCCTTTGTAGTCTTCCCTTGTGGCTGCCCTTTTCTCATCATGATCTCCCCTCACGACCACCCTTCACCCCTCACGGCCACCCCTTGTCTCCCCTCATGTTGAACAGTGTTTAAATTAATGTTTTCCAGGTTTTGTACAACAGCCACACGTGTGCACTGCAGAGCCTGTTTCCACCCATAACAAGGATTAACCAATAGCTGTCTACTTTATTGTGTGCACTCGCTTCCCCACTCCCTGTACTTCTGCAGGCTTCTGTGCCTCTTTTTGCTTCTCCAACTAAACAAGCCTCACCTACTTAGCTACAAGACCAGATTACCATCAGAGCAGCCTCCTTTCTGCGTTTCATGGAGGTGGTGTTCAGCATGTTTTGGACCAGGATCCAGTCCTCTCCGATGCTCCATTCTCTCTGTAAAGCAGGGTAGGAAATGCTCCTTCCAAGAGATTCTGGAAGACTTGGTCTATAATTGCTTGTAAACCACAGAAGTAGTAAGTGATACAGAAATCCAACAAATATCAACTACCTTTTGCTTAGGGAGCGGCATTGTTAATCAATGGGTGCCCTCTATGTTCTATGTGTTCAACAGAGCTTTCCCTACTGTTTTTAACTAGTAAACACTGCTGGACTAGGGCCGAGTTCCGGTCTGTTGGGTGTTGCTGCTGCATTACTGGCAGTTAGCATGGCTGTGAATACTTTATTTTTAATGGCTCCATTTGGTCCAGCTCAAGCTGGATGGTTTTACATTTAGTATGCAAATGAAAGTTCCTGGTTTCTGACAGCTACAGAAAATCAAGCTAAAATCAGATATCTGCATTTAATGACCTCAGGGAGTATAATATAGCCACAGCCGTATAACCTTGCTTTCCATCAGCAAAAAATAATGGAATAACCAGTATGAGTGAATTCATTATTGAATTTAGAATATAAATGAGAGTAAAGCAAAAGTCTCTTGGGTGGTTTTGTTTCTCATTTTACTAGTTACCAGTTTACTAGATGGTAATTTTCCTGAATGACCGTGGAAGATGGTGATAGCCTCAGGTGCAGAGCGGATTCAAGAGTGAGAAGTACATCTAAATAGTGAGAACAAACTGGAGAGTAAAGGGTGTATGGAAGTACTGGAAGTGGATTTACTATTTTAACATTGTACCAAGTGTTGTCCCTCACACTTAAATAGATTTTCATTTATAGTATCAGCTGAATGGCTGTTATTTCACTAGTTTGGCAGCAGATTCTACCTGTGGAACCTTTCTGACCTCTGTTCTGCTCTTTTTATTTTTTTTAATTTCAGGACAGGTACAGGCTGCATGTGTTTATTTTTCTAGCTATTTTATTCTTTTTTCCTCTACCTAGGAAAAAAATGAAGATTCCTAATATTTCTTGACACTAGAAACTTTGCATAGAAATGCTTATCTTTCATGGTATTCATAAAATGTGTGGAGCATAAAATTTTATCTGCAAGTGCTTATGGATCTCAAGGACACAAATGCATACACTCTGTTCATAAATGTATTTTACAATTTGTGCATGAATATTTGATTATTCTGATCAAACATAGAATTCTAGGTAATTATTAGTTTATTTAAGCCAAAGAAACACATTGAATTAATGCCTTCACTGTTTTTTTCATTGATTGTTTTCCAATATTGGTATAGATGCTTACCTTTTGTAGGAACAGAGGAAGGGACAGTGGTGCTTACCACAGAAGCAGCAATACAGAGAGAGGGAAGTCATGCACTGGAGCCTTCCTAGGCTCCAAGATAACTTCAGCCATTTGCTGCCCCTCAAAGCAGTAGTCTGCTCTTCGTCTCAGTTTTTAGCAGCTGGTATCACTCCTCTGGTACTGATACTGATCCTTCCTTCAGTGTGGGTGTTTTGGTGGCTGTACACCTGCTGTTGGAAAATGAGCTGGATTAAAACTAGCTCAGGAAAAAAATGTAGTAAACACAGGTGAGAAAGAGTGGCTGGGAGAAGTGGAAGGATTGCTTCAATCTCCACTTGTATTTATGTATGTGAGCTTCGTATCTTTATAAGCAGGTGTATATTTTTGGTGGCAATATATTCTTGCTGTGCAACTTAACAAAGTAACACATTGGCAAAAATAAGGCCTATTAAAATACATCACTGATTTGCTTTGTGATCTTAAGCAAGTCATTTAGCTATTTCACACATCAGCTTCAAACTGGATATTACTGGAAACTAGCTCTTACAGTTGCATTTTTTTTGGACTACAGATAGGTTTTGTGCTGTCTGCTAATGTTAGCTCATTTTTACTTTAAAAGCACTGCAGCCTTACCTGGTAGGTTTGTCTTTGCATTGCCAAATTTCCCTTGACAGACTGGGCGACCTACCTTTGCATGTAGGTTGCAACAGTCAGCAAAAAAGCAATGAGAGAAATACCTGGTAGAGGACAGTGGGGTCAACTTGTTATATGTAAGAAGAGTTGCTCCAAAAATAGAGCTGTACTTGGAGGTGAATAGCCTTAGTCTATTTCAGGGCTATTGAAAGAGGTCTCTTTCTTTTTTTATCTCCCAGAAATGGAAGAATATTGCTGAATAAGGAATGTCTGATCCCCTTTGCTTCCTAGCTGCCAAATCATGAGTACTTGGAATCAGCTTGTGTCCTTCAGCACACATAACTTACTTTACAGGCCTATTAATTCATTCGTCTTTCCATTGTGTAATTTTGTACAATGGTTGTAATATGGCTGGATCTTCAGAGATTCATTGTTCTGTCACAGTTCTGAAAATTAAGTGTGCAGTATATATAACTATTAAAAGCTATTTCTTCCTACATGCGTGCAATGAAAAACAGTCTCTGAATAATGAATATTATTCCAGTATTTGATTAATGTCTGAAAGTAATTTTACAGAATTTTTATATCTGTTGTCTAAAGTGCCTCTTGCAGGTTTTCTGACTCATTTCTGCTTAACATATGCAGTAGGGTATTTTGAAATGGAGGTGAGTGAAACTGATATAACCCATAAAAATAGATGAATGGTGTTAAGCCATTTGATTCAGGCACGTAATCACAAGCTGTGGTATTCCTTCAGCCTTCACATCTTTCTTTCACGTAAACATGCTACCACGTGGCTGGATTCAGTAAACAGTTCCCTAGTGCCTTTCACTAAGTATGAAGACAGTTGATACTGCATTTGAGCAGACCTATTTTTCCTGGGCTCTGTACCACTTCAGGAGCCTGTTGGAGTTTTTACTTACCATAACCCCTGGACTACAGGAGGGAGATAATCTTCTCACCTATAGCTACTAGAAACTATGCTTCCTGCAGGAACCTACAGATCACTTACAGCTAGTTCATTCTCATTCTGTGCTCCCCTAAGCAGTTGCTGCAGATGCAGCACTGACAGTACGGTTCTTGAGATGTGTGCACTGTCTTACCTCTCCAATTATTCAAGAAAAAAAAATATTAAGCCCTTTAGTAGCAAGATGGAAATTTTGAAACTGTTTATTCCAAGCCATACAACCCATGTCGTTTAGCTTTCACTACAATGAAAATAAAGCCAAAGGCTCCTCTACACATTCTCCCTCTGCTTTATTGTGTTTGAGAGGGAAGGGTAAATTTGCATAGTAAGGGTGACTGGATTACAGCCACCTTTGACTTCCAGGTTTTTAGTGTCATCCAGGTGGCTAAACATGTGCAGAACACTGTGACACAGTGGAGAAAATGGGATTTGGTTTCTTTGAAATTAGAAAAAAAAATTGTGATTCTTTCCCTTTGAGGACAGTTTCCAGAAAACCTATTCAATTCTGTTTTATTTTTAAGACTTGGAAGGTTTTGACTCTGTAATACCAATTGCTGAGAAGCTTAATCATCCAACTACAACTAGACCAAAAGCTACTGGCAGGCGACCACCCTCCCAGTCTCTCACATCTGTAAGTTAATTTTCCATTTCTCTTAAAAATATTTTTTTCTGATTTTTCACCCCTCTCCCCATTTGCATTCCCTGGTGTTTTACTACATTTCCACAGCCATTCCTGCACACATACAGTGAGGCAGAGAAATGCAGCTCAGGAAAATTAGTGTTGAAAAGCTGAGTGTTCTGAATACTGATGTTTAAAACATTCCCTCCCTTATAAGATTTGTAACCCCTTATTTGGGTGCTGCCAAGTATTCCTTGCCAGCCATGACTGAGGCCAGAAAAGTCCTTTCTAAAAATCTGTGAAATAAACTGGTTTGTGCTAAGTATTAAGGATTTTGAAAGTGATTCTCAAAAGAAGCAATTCCTTTGGTTTCTTTAGGACGTTTAGCAGATTTTGAGCACAAACAGACCATTTCAGCCTTTGACAGCTCTCCTTGAGCCATCATGTTTCTTCACATTAAGCTCACAATCATACATATAACGGTGATTTAAATTTCACACTTTAATATGTGTCTTTGGACAAACTGATCTCATAAACCATACTTGAGAAACCATTGCTTAGTTTTTTTAGTGTCATCTTCTTTGGGGTTTGTTCATTTCTGTGCTTTTTTTGCATTCTGGATATCAGAATGACAGCAGCTACTTATGGTTGCCTATGTTCATGTTGCTGAAGCAAAAGTGGAGGGAAACAAAAAGGATTATTGTGAAACTGATAGAATGTGTAAAAGAAATCTTCCAAATTGACTATGTACATAAATACAGAAACATAAAAGATGACTGAAAAGGTTTTTCTTCCCCTGTCAAATCTCCGGGGAGAGGAACAAGGGGTGGAAAAAACCTCCCCTGTTTGTACTTTTACAGAGGCCATGAATAAGGCAGCCCTGCAGCACCAGCAGTGTGCATGGGCAGCAGCATGGGTCCTTTGAAGAGCAGCAGAGTGAGACCTGCACTGAACAAAGCCATGGCAGAGCTGCCCAAGTGGCAGAGTTGGCATCCCCACAGCACAGTGCTCAGTGTCCTAGCTAAATAAGCTCTTCTTATGGACAGGAAGGTGTTTTCTTCTTACAACATAATGCAATGCAAAGATGTAAATTAATGGTGGATTCAAGTCTTAAGTGTATCTTATTTCATGAATGCTTTGAAAGCATTCTAGCCTTGCAAATAGCATGTAAAAAAGAAGGGTGGGAAGAGAAAGAGTCCTGGTTTTAAGTATTATTACTTTGAAAATGATAACTAAAAAAAGAATAAAATAAAAATGTCCTCACGTAATGCTCTTCTTCTTCCTTTGTCAAATTATTGCACAGTGAAAATACCTGCTTTTTTCTTTTTTTTTTCCCTTTCTTGTGGTGTGTGTGTTTGTTTACCTAGTCATCCCTTTCAAGCCCTGATTTCTTTGACTCCCCAAGTCCTGAAGAAGAGAAGGAGGAGCATATTTCCATTACTCAGAAAACTATTGAAGTGTCAAGGAAATCAAGAACTGTTACAATATCACAAGTAAGTTAATTGGAAAGTGTCTGCTTAACCTTATCATGTGCATATTCATTTTTTAAAACTGTATTAAAATACTTATTTTCAAATTTTAAATCAACAGTCACCTGGTAACTGGCCTTTAAAGAAGCTTGAAATGGTAAAGGTTACTAAAGTTTGTTCTATGTCTGGAGTGAATTGCAGAGTTCAAATGTCTCCATAGCCATACTGTGAAAAAAACCCTTCTAGTGTACATGCATTGCACAGAATGAGAGAAGCTAGGGAAATAAATTTTAGAAACACAGGCCTTTCAGGGCAGCTGTAAATTCAGTTTACATTAGAAGAGTTTATAAGCAAATACAACTCTTTGACCCACTCTGATAGTACATGAATTGAAATTTGCAAGTATGATCACTTTTTATACTGATATAATTGTATTCATTTTATAGGCTTGTGCCATTCTTACTGTATTTTGGCAGAAAACTAGGATAATCAATTACAGAAAGAGTGGGTATATCAGGCTTTAGAGGTTGGAGCTATTTTTTAGTACATAAGGATATCTTTAATAATACAAGTAATACATTATAATAGTATAATAGAAGTAATTGAAAGATGGAGTCATCTTTCAAATCAAGGCACTTCTGTGATGAAATTATAAGGATAATGTTTTGCTATATAGCTCCCTCTTCTGGGAGCATCTGCATTAAGGAATACTCTTGGGCCAACATTTGTAAATTGTATGTTTGTGCCAAGGATGTAGATGATCTTCCTGTAAAACAAGATGACTGCTATCAGAAAATATCTGCTTGAGGCTTTAATGTCAATACCAGTTAAGCTCTGGAATAAGGTGTTCAGTGTGGCTGACTCCAGTTGTGCCTTTCTCACTTGCTCTGGGTTCAAGCTGAGCCTGACATCTCTTTTCAGTGAAAAGGAAACTTGCATCTACTGATATAAAGATTATTATCCATGAACAATCCATTTATAGGTTCTCAAACATGCACACACATATATAAAATGTTAAAAGAGCATCATTAAGGTCATGAAGTCAAGCATTCAAGCCTCTGGAGTGATTCAGCTTTCTTGTGATTATAACACCATTTTCATTTCTGCAGGACACCTTTTTATGCAGTGCTTGCCTGGGACAGGTTCTGTGCTCAATCATGCTCCTGTAGTGGGGAAGACTGTTTTTTGAAGAAAAAAACAGTCTCAGAGGATCCTGTTCTTCCTTTCCCATCACACTTTCTCCTAATTTCCATCTGACCAACTACTTTTCTTTCAGTTACTTTATCCAGCTAATGCCACTGACCCAGTCCCCAAGTCCTTACTTTTAATGTCTCCTTCCATTTCCATGCAATTTTTTCTCTATAGATTAACTTCTTTGCCACTCAACTTCAGTATCTCTTTGCCCAAGATAAAGTTGGAGGGTTGCCTCATGGTTTTTCTTACTCTTGGCCAAATCAGATTTTCAGATACTCCTGGTAGCTGTCATATAATGCACACTTTAGCATTGCCAAATAGCAACATGATAAATAATTAAGATTCACCTTACTTGACATTGTGATAACTGCACTTCTGCACTGTTCTGTGTATGCAGTGAAGTAGCTGGTCATATCTGGTAAAGTCATGGACTTCATATTTTTCTGTACCTTGTCTAATAAGTAGAGCACTGGATTGCAATTCAAGAAGTAGGGGATCCTTATGAGCCAGGCACCTGGTTCCAAGGTAACTAGGTTAAATCTGCATTTTTCTGTTAAGTCCTTGGAGGAACAAAAAGACATTGGTAGGTATGAGGATTCACAGAAGCCTCAGCAAACAGAGGACAGTACAGTACATTTATTTTTTATTAATATATTAACATTCTGAAGCCATGGGATTTTGTTTTGCTTTTTGTATCATACCAGTTAGCAAGCTTACAGAATATTTTGGTATTTTCATAACAATAAGAGTGACATGTAAAAAATTTTTTAATTTTTATAAAACAGTAGGTGTTGAAGATAACTTCACTTGTTAGTTGACAATCATAAATTTAATCTGCAAAAAAATACAACTTGGATTCTTGGCCATGTAGTTTTGAGCTCTGCAGGAGACATCCATGGATGTAGGTGTGTTCTCAGAAATGTCTGTGGGAAACTCTGAGCATCCATCCCTGGTTCTTTTCACTGCTAGGTCTGAGATCTCAGAAACACTTTTACTGACTGGTTGTAGCAACTGTAGAAAGCCTTACTGAAGCTACCTGAACTTCTGCATCCCAGCTATACCCCTTCTGATGTACATGTACAAAGATAATGACTAATTGTTATATTTATCATTGTGTGGCCAAAACTGTCCATGTTTGACTATGGACTTTCAACATTATTGAAGGGCAGCAAAACACTTATTTGCCTAATGGTCTGATTTTCATAAAGCTTTCTCCAGACATTAGGTGTTATTCTTTTTGTTGCAGGTGTCTGATAATAAAAATTCCTTGCCTCCAAAACCAGGAGTTTTGACTTCTGGCTGTATTATACAACCATCACTATCTCCTTCACCATCACCTGGATTTCACTCAATTGCTATGGGAACAAGCCACAGGCCGAATTCCCCGTCCCTGTTCGGTACTGAAGGAAAGCCAAAGACTGAGTACTTGAGCCAAGGTCAGACTACCCTGGAGGAGCTGAGAACACAAATTAAGGAGCTAAGAACCATCATTGAAACTATGAAAGACCAGCAAAAGTAAGCACTGCAAATAACAGCTGTAGGTGGGATGCGTCTGTTGATGCATGATGGTGGCAGTTTCTTCTTGAGCTTGCCTTCATGTAAGTTATGCTGCACAGCTTGCCTTGCTGTTTGGGGGTGATTTTTGTCTGATAGAACACATTCAGCGGTGAGAATCTCAGGAAAAAAGACTGGCACTATCCGTCTGTAACAGCTTTTTTTCCCTGTGTTATGACATAAGCAGATGTTTATGGGGTGCTGAAAAAATTAAGTTACAAGTGGTAAGCAGTGAATAAGGTTATTTGCCAGTAACTATTTGGAAACTCATATGCACTGATATTAAAAAGGGGTGCATTTGTTTTTGTTGTAATGCAAATTAGAATAATAAATTAGTATAATAAAAAGTTCCTATAATTATTGAATCAATTTGTTGTTTGACTGTTAGCATGTTTTCCCAGGAAGCTCATATTACAAAAGAAGTAATTAAATTAGGACATTAGAAGACCTTTGTGTTTATGAGCCTGAATCTTACTATTTTAGTGTTGGGCATCTTTATTTTCTCTAAGATGCTCATTTCTTAGGAGAAACTGGGGCTGGCATGTAGCTTTTCCTGTTCCTGAGAATATTAAATATTTTGGAAGCTAAACCTTCACTTGCATTGTCAGTTGCGCGTAGCCCAGGCAGGAGAAAGTAAAGGGAAAGTAGCATGCACAGACTGTGGCTAACAGAGGTGTGTGGGGGAGTTTGGGAAGAGATGCAGGAGGGCCTGGTTGAAGCTGGATGGAGCCAGGAAACCCCACAGCTTTACCTCTAATGCTGGCTCTTGGTCCTCTGGTCTTCCCAGGCTTTCTTGTATGGGCTGCTTCCACCTGCTGATTTCAGTTCAAGGTGAGATCACTCAGTGGGAACATGAAATGTCTGCTTCAAATAGCTGTGTTCCCCTTCCGGACAAAGAAGGATGACAGCAAATCCATATTAGGGATCATTAAGTCTTATAAATTAAGTTGAAGCTTACATTTTTATAGCTGGCATAAACAGCTTATAAGTAGCTTAAATATGTGATAGCATGGACGGGATATGTGTTACCAGTTCCAAATAACCCACCAACAGCAAATCCGTCTATATTTTGTAGGGAAAAAAGACAACTGGGTGCAGATACAGTGTTGATAACAACTAGCCCAGAACAAAGTCTGTGGATGCAGGGAGGAAACATATTAATCATGACATTGTATGGGACGCGTCTTTTTATAGAGTCTGTGATATATAGTATACAAGAACGTGCTGACTTTAGCTAGTTGTCCAGAAGAAAAAAGTAACTAGTAAAGAAAGGAAAATATGACTTTTAAGAGGTTACCTTTTGTATTTTGCTAGTTTAACCATTACCATTCCAAACTTTTTTTTTCTTTTTTGCATTCTTTTAACAGAAAAGAAATTAAACAGTTGTTATCTGAGCTGGATGAAGAAAAGAAGATCCGTCTACGATTGCAGGTACTTAAATTATTAATAATGTTATGAAAGTATTGGCAGCTTTGATTTAGCCTCAGGTATGGGACACAAAACTCTGCTAGGTTCTAGTTGAATCAAATGATACTAACATTTCTGAAAGGGACATACCTGTTCCCTTCATAGTGTTGCCAGTCGGTGTCATATATATCACAGTACTGGGTTCTTACTGAAAAGCATAATTATCTAAAAATTTATCAGCACAAGGAGAGAAATTAAAAAAAAAAAATTAAATACAATATAGGATTCAAACTATTCATTTTTTTAGTCTCAGTTTTAATGGTTTGATATTTTCACGAGTGAAATCATGTCTCTTTAAATCACTTGCTCTCTCCCAAAGCTTTCTCTTTTGTAGTAGGCTTGTCTTAGTGTTGATATGCTTGGAACATTATTTCATATAGCAAGATTTTTATGTCTGCTTTACAGATTGTACTCAGGTTGTCTTTACGAAAGCATCCTAAACAATATAAAAGAAGGTGCTCTAATTAAGACCCCAGTTATTGCTACTATCATTTGTATTGTACCTTGGCTCTAGATGTTGTCATGCTGGCTTAATCATTTGCCAGACAGCATGCTGCCCTGCTTGTGTGAGAGTCACGGAGCCAAACCTTTGCTAGTGTCATTGACTGCACTGCTTCAATATGGAGTGGTGATGAAACTGCTTTTCTGGGTTTTGGAGAGTAATTTGGACAAAGCCCTTAATAACATGCTTTAACTTGATCAGTGCTGAAGTGGTCGGGCAGTTGGACTAGAAGATCCTTGTAGGTCCTTGGCAACTGAAATAGTCCTATTCTATTCTGTTCTATTCTCTTTATAAGTGGTTTAGTATTGATTATATTTTATATTTTTATGTTATAGGTCAACTGTACTTTTTCTTTGTTCTCAGGGTAGAAAATCAAATTGTAATTTCACTGGGCTGTTTCCACTCAGTAAACTACTTGGGAATATGCCAAAGAGTAACAGAATTGGGAACCATCAATACCTGTGCTCTGGGGCTGCCTAATGGGCTTTATGCATGAAGCCACATAGAAGTATGGCTTCTAAGAACACACAATACATGTTCGGCTAAAACTGACATTTATTCAGATAAAACCAATGAACATTTTTAATAACAGTTACTGATTTAGTCTAAAAGGCCAAACTATTCAAAGTCCACCTACAAGGTTGGCTTTACATCTGCAAACAGAGACCTGCACTGATGGTTTTAAAATTATGATCTAAAATACTTTTACTCCAGTTCAGATGTTGCATATACTGGTAGATGTTCAGATGCTAGCCAAGGTGGCATTATTAGTTTTACATGAAAGTGAGAGTTCAAGAAACACAAGTTGAATTAGTTTAGGAGTCCATGTATTAAAGAAAACTGCCTTGATGATAGGCCACAGTTGAGTGTCACAGGTGTGTTTGAATAAATCTAATACCCCTGCTTCAGGGTTTCCAGGGTCTGTTAGAGAGGCTGAGTGTGCAGCTAGGTCTGATGATGGTTTCAGCCACATCCTTTTACCACATGGCTGTACATCCATCAGAGCCTTTAAGGTGCCTAGATGCAGGCTTGATGGGTGTAGAAGGCAACTGCCATTCCCTACGGGAGAGACAGTAGGTTTTGGTCCTCAGCTATCACTGCTCATTGTCGGCAATTGAGTTTACTTGTGCTGTGTGTAAGTGCAGCAACTGATGCAAGGACACAGTGCTCATTCTGCAAGTAATTCCTGGCAGTGAGCTGCATGGGTTGTAAAAATTGTAATTTAAAGAGCTTGAAAGGTCTTGTGTTACATTCAGTATCAAGCTCTGAGGGGAGAAAGCCATGAGTGGTCATCTTACACAGCTGAGAAGGTCACCTCAATTTGTAAAATCTCTGGAAATAATAGTAGTATAAAACCTGTACTCAACACCTGCTGACAAGATGGAACATGCTTTTTTATCAGTACCTAGAAATGGTGCCTCAGCTTGCTAAGGCATCTAATTTCATCACAATTTTTTTTACTTGTTTGTTTTCAGATGGAAGTTAATGACATAAAGAAAGCTCTTCAATCAAAGTGAATGCTTGATAGGTGGAATGTTGCATTATTCTTCATGACTGAGACTCAAATTTATGCCCCAGCCAAAATAACTTTGTGCCAAATGATTTAAGAATTGCCTCAACATCCCTTTATCTGAAGGATTAGCACAACAGTTTTTGATAGCACAATAAAACCACCAACAATGAGGACAAAACTTCCACCTGAAGCAGTGCTGTGCAGCACTAGTCGTGACTGAAATTGATCCTCTTGTGCTAAAGGCTCTCTACTTCAAGATCCTAGATGAAATGAAAACTCAGGCAGTTTAGTCCATAGTGGTACTATTTTGATGATATTTTTCCATAAATAAAATGTATTTCAGATTATCTGTTTACAAGCTTTATGATTTTGACTTTTGGTTTCTAATTGTCTTTTGTCACAGATTTTAAAATGTTTCTACTGCATATAGCCAGGAATGAATGTTAATGTTGGGGCTGGAGGGATTATTTTTGCTTCAAGATAGAACAGCCTACTTTTTGTTATGGTTTTAAAGTTCTGTTAAATATGCAATTTTATGTCCCCAAATCCAATACAGTTTAAACTTACATTGTGTACAGTAATGTATTTACAAGAAGGAAACAAACCAACAGAAATCTGGTCTTTGCAATGATTTGTGCCTTTCTTTGCCACACACTGACTGGAGCCGGTCACAAGTCAGGTCTCCGTAATGTAGCTACCACGACGACTCCTGTCCTTGGTGTCCGGCGGAGGACACCTTCTCAGTGTACAGCTGCTCAGTCAGGAGAGCCAGGTTTGTGCAAAGTGGCAGGGCAAAAGGGTGCAGCTGAAAGCAGCTTTGTCTTGAGCAGCTGTGGCTTTTTAGCTTTCCTGGCTTTGATGGGCCTCTCCCTCAACTCGAATGTTCATCTCCGCTTGATTTTCATTAGATGATTTTAACGCCTGCCTCTGTCCCCAGTTTTGCACAGAGTGAACAGAATATGCATTATTAAAGCAAAAATAAATGAAAATAATCTATAAAACGTGAATAAAAAGTTGTATTATCTCATGCACAAGGTTCTCTGTTGTGTGACATTGTTTCACTTGCTGTTTACCTGGTATTGTTTGTTACATTATGTTGTTCACTTAGAGCCTGATACACTTTATAGTCCTGGTTTTGCATCAGGACATACTTTTCATCATTTTATTGAACCTGGTGCTTGCTTCGTAGAATCATAGAATAGTTAGGGTTGGATAGGACTTTAAGATCATCTAGTTCCAACTCCCCTGCCTTGCGCATTTCTTCCAGTTTCTCTGTTTGTTTTTATCCTTTCAAAATAAGGTCTCCTGTTTTTCTGTGTGTGGTTTCATGTGTTCCTTGCTAGCCACGGAGTATCTTATACCTTGTCAGCAATCGCTGTTGAGTTTATACAAAGCGTTTAAATAATGGATATTTTTGCGTAATGTGGAGTGAGTGGGTGAGTGATATTGGTGATGCTTCAGAGGGACAGAAAAAGCCCACATAAAGGATCTACATGTTGTCGAATGCTAGAGCTGGCTCCAGCCAACATATCCCATATCACAGCTAACCACTCTGCGTGTCACATTCACACATGGTTGGCAGAGTTCCCATAATCTTTTTGATATGCGTAGATATATAAAATACTCCACCATACATGAATCTGCCACTACAGAACCTCACTGTTGGAGTAATTTCCTCTACTGTACCATCTGCTTCTACTGTAACAGTGATGTCGGAGATTGAAAGGTCAAATAATGAAACTTGAGAACTTTTTTAAAAGTCCCAATACATTGCTTAATGTACAAAAACAGAAGCACTAATAAAATATTTTATCACTGAAATACTCTTATTTAACATTTCTAAATAACTGCATTAAAATATTTTTGTACAAGGAATGATAGTCCCATCTTAGCTTTCCAGCAATAAAGATTCCTAGATGTTTTTGTCATGGTTTTTGTGAAGTTAGTAGGAGTTAGGAGAACAGGAGGAACTGAGGGATAAGGAATAAGAATTCTGTTTGGATTTATAGTCTGCAACATATATCCAGAAATGAACAGCTCAAGCTTCTTAATTGCACCCCTGGAAGAGATGTACTATTGTATCTGTGGTAAATACAGTACTGAGTCTGGAGTTGTACCTCAAAAATATAAGAGACATCTCAGAAATGTTCTGGTTTTTGCAAATGAAAGTCTGAATTTGAAAGAGTTTCCTTATACCAGACTACATTTTTTTCCCCTCCTGTTGAGATGATAACTTGTCATTTTATAAATCAAGGTTAGAAGTCCAACGTATCATGCTTTGTAAAAGAAGGTTAAATAAGGTTTTGTGAAAATGCTTTGTTTTGAAAGTTGATTATTCTGGGAGAAGAGAGTTTGTAGAGTTACAAACTCTTCTTGCTGCTTTTCATTATATTAATAGAAAGTATTTCACATAACATATGGATTTTCCCTTTTTAAAGAAGATCAATTATGCATTAAACCTGTGGATATAAGCTGCTGCTTTTAAAAATGTTTGGGTTTATATTTAAAGAAAATCAGAAAATGCTGGTGAGCTACAAAGTGATTTTGATGTGAAAATGATTAAATATTGTTATTTGAAGAGTTGTGTAAAATGACTTTTCATTAATATGCACACACCAGTCTTGCAGCAGACTTCTGTTTACATGTAGAAGTCAGGTGTGAAACATCAGGCTTATGCCATTGGGTGATAATATTTAAATTCTTGTTTTGGAAAATTTTTAGTTTTTTAAGAAAACAGTTTTATGTTCTCTTTATGTTCTCGTTTCAACTCTAAAGGGAGCACCTGTTTCTTAATGTGAGATTGTCGTGGTTTAAACTGAACCCAGGACAGAGATCATAGCACTTGGCACTTTAAAAAGTTCTGCATGGAAATAAGATAGTAAATATTCAAAGTGTTTATTAAGTTCTCTTACTTATATATCCTCTTCTGTGTTTTTCTGTGTTTTTCTTATTAATATCCATTTGTAAGTGAGCAAAAGGCTTAGATGAATCTATTGTTATGCCAGTAGGCCAAAGGATTGAACACAACTGTATGCCGTAAATTTTGTTTCTAGGTGTTGGATAGCTAGCTGCCCAGTAAACTTTGTGAGCTGCTTTGTGTTTGAAATGTCCATAGGAGTGCCATACTGTGTGACAGCCAGGACTGAAATTTGCACTGGTGCAAGCAAGGTGAGACAGTGCCATAAAACACCCTCAGAAATTCATGTTCTGCTGAAGCTACAGAATTGTTTCACTCATCTTCTTGCAGAGTTGACTCAGGTGTGAGCCAGCACCACTTCCCCCCTGCTCACCCTGCAGATCAGGCTGCCCTGCTGTAGGAGAAGCTGCCCAGGAGCTGCAGCCTTGCCAGCATCTCTGTGCGGTGCCCCGTTCATGCTCTGCAGGCACAGAAATAACATTTGCTGCTGCAGGGCTGGCATGGTGTGAAGATGCCTGGTGTTCCTGTTAATTCCTTGGCCATGCCACATTGCTAACAGCTCTCAAACTTTTAGCCTTGGTTTAGAGCTTTTATTCTCTGCGGGCCTGCCTTGCAGGCAGGGGGAGGCTGTGGTCAGAGGTGCTGCAGTTCATAGGTCCCACAAATACCCAAGCAACAAAAGCCAAAGGGAGAAAAGCTGGGGTGGGGGTGACGGCCAGGCAGCAGTGATAGTACAAGGCTGGGAAGGGGCAGAAGGTTGCTGGTGTCTGCTACTTCTTTGAAGAAAGGACCCTAAGGCTGAAAACGGGACAGAGGCACATTGTTGAGGAAAGGCTGGATAGAGAGAAGATACCTTTCATACAGGCAGACTGTGGTTTGAAAAGTAGGAGCAAACGACTGGTCTGCAACTTCTTCATTGAGGAGGCGTTTTGACCTCCTTAGTGGAGGAGTCCTGCAGTGCCACTGCAATTCCCAAAGACTTTGGCAAGGGCAGGGTCCTTCAAGCATTGACTTCTGGTCAGATTAAAAAGAGCCAGAGGGGGTGGAGCTGAACTTCCCACACTAAATACCAAGTACTTGTATCCATGGTTGTTAATACCCTCCAGACAGAAATTAGATTTTGCTTGTCACCTTTGGCCTCAGCTGACTCTTGAGCTAGCCTAGGAATTAGCAGCTGGTGATCTATTCACTTCCCGCCTCCCGCAGCTGCTCCCCTCCTCCTGCCCCAGTCCCTCTGCTCCTGCTGTTCCCTGCCTTTGGAAACTAACCAGCTTCCTTAGGTCCTCATCCCTGAAGCTGAGGGCATGCCAGCACTTCCTAGCCTGGAATAGAAAAGCTGGGGAAGCAAAAAACATTTCTTAAATACTCACAGGAAGCTGTGGTGCTGTGTGTGCTGCTGGGGGATGAGAATGCCTTGGCACCCACCAGTCTGGGCTGGGCAGCCCAGAGCTCTGAATTATGGCTCCTTCCCTATACTTAGGTTAGTAACATAAGCGTCGGACCCACTCAACACACTGTTGTTTGGTATGAGCTCTTTTAATTAAGATGATTTCCAATCCCATGCAGGCACAAAGTTTTACAGGTAGCTAGCGTAAACCACTGTCAGCCTTAGGAGCAGATGCTTGAGAGAGTTTTCTTTGCATTGCCACAGCCAGGCTTTCCTTGAACCAGCAACGCAGCTGAGTTTCTGCTTTCACTGCTCACAGTTCCACTGCATGGAGGTCTGGAGCGCAAACAGCTAAACTAAAAAAATGGCTTAATGTTCTTGTGCATTTATTTTTTTCAGTATTAGAAATTTAATCATGTTTTAAAATGTGTTAGCACTGCAGGATGAAAATATTAATCTATAAATTAATTTTGTTGAAATTGTTACCCTACAAACTGGAGTGCTATCTTAGTGTATTTTAGCAAGTTAATTAACTGTAATTCTAGACAAATCTCTAGAACCATGAGAGTAATTATTTGTTCTGACACACTGCAAGGGTTACAATAAGGAGGCAAGGCCTACCAATCTCTCAGCCCCTCAGATAAGTAGATTTCAAACACTCTTCCTTTTTTTTAAGTAGAAACAGCAACTGGAGAAGGTAGATGATGACAGTCACAGGAAAACATAATTGGCTTTTAGCAGTATAATCTTAAAAGTTTTAATAGGCTATTTCTCTTGGAGAAGAGAACTTGAAAATTAGAATGACAAAGCAAATTAGGTAAGAATGACCAGGCTTCACAAGCAATTCTGAATATTAGAACATTTAAAAAGTATCTGTTTTCAAAACTTTCTCTGTCAAAATCACTTCACTTCACTGCACTGCACCCAAACTTGGCATTTTCATTTGCTGTGGAAGATTGTTTCCTCAGTACAGCAAGCTCTTCCCTGCATGCTTTGTCCCAGCTAGTTAACAACAAAGGTGCTTCTATGAGGGGATCCATCAGGCTGCTCTTCGCCTCCTTGGATAACAACAATAAAGGGTTTGGGATTTTGTGAGAGCACTTTTGGGCTCTTCTTAGAGGTAGTGAAAATTAAGCTGGGCAGCTGCCTCTGCTACAGGATAACCCATCACCTGGGCTTACCCCATTCTGCGAATGGCTTTTGTTGTGAAGGAAAAAAGTGCAGGAGACAGCACAGTTCACACAGTCCATGCACTGTGCTCTTTTGCCTAGCACAAAGCATCAAAAAGCTTACCAACAGGTAAGGAAGGATAAATAGAAAAGGTGCACCTGCATGGAAATTGCTGCTGCTAGGTAATTTGGCTACTCTGGATACAAAGAGCCAAATTTACTGAGCCCTGTTGGAAGCACAGACACAGCCATTTAGCAAGTAAAAGCACAGGGCATGGGGAAACATGGCATAAGTTTTTAGTCCCCGAAATAAGCAGTGCTGGCTGGAGAAAGCCAGTTCATTAGTGGATGGCAGGTCTCTCACCAGAGGTCCAGGATGTTTGTGCTGTGATTACACAGTCATGCCTGACATGTGTCACAGATCTCAGGGGAACAGAAAACTTCTGATGCTCTGACCTGAAGTACCTGTTTACCTCAAAAACACAGCTCAGTAACCTGTGCATGGAAGAACTCTAACACAGGAAGGGTGCCACATTACTGCAATGGCCACAGGCTTCAATA